AATTTAGGACATGCTTTGAATCCCAATAAATGCAGTTTATATTTTTATTTCTTTAAAAGTGATGTCTTTCTTTTTATTTTATTTTAATTTTAAATTAATGATCTATTCCTTCAATTTTCTATAAAAGCACCCGTTAGTCAGATTTTACCCTAAATCTAACTTACATGTAGTTGCTCTAAACTTATATGCATCATTCTTTGGGATGTATTGAAAGATAAAATAAATCTTTAATATTCTTCTATCTTTAATAAAATATTTTTTCTGCTCTTACAATCTATCTCAACATAATGGTGTAGATGTTGTTATTGTATTTCTGAAATAACTTTCTTAGGTCGTGAGTCAAAGAAAACACTTCATAGTTTATTGTTTTCCTCGGTTCACAACATTGAAAATTTTATTCATAAACATGCTGTAAATTGCAAGCAATTACAATACAAAAAAAGTAGTAAAAAAATTGAAAAGGAAACAAGACATGTTTCTTTCAATTTGTTATCATTCACCATTTACTGCAAGTAATATATTACCTCAATTTTTTTTATAAAGCCAAAGGGAAAGTCCTTATTTTAATAATGCTCAAGATATTGCGAACACATCAATACACAAGAAACTCTCTACATCCACCAATATATATCTTGTTCTCTTTCTTGTGAAAACATTTGCTCAAGATAATAAAATATTTGAAGATATTTCTAGGATGGATTACAAGTGTAAAAAAAATTCATGGTTGGGACAAATAACTTATTAGAAATTGGATGCATGTAAAACATTGAATTTGAAAAGAATGCGAACAAAGGGTATACAACAAAATTTGGATAATAACAAAGATTTGTTGTTCTCGAAGAATAACTTGAAAAGATTTTCTGTTCTCCAAGAATCCATTGTCAAAGTTTGGATTTATTTAAACAATATTTTAATATTCTGTGTAAACAATGTAATTAAAAAAGGTAAGACTACTGTCTAGGTCCTTTAAGTTATTTTAAAATATCAAGTTAGTCCCTTAAGTTTTTTTTTGTAACGCTTTGGTCATTTTTTAAAAATCTTTGTTACAATAAACTACAAACTCATATACCATTTAAATTGGTTTTTCGCGCTGATCACGTATATGTAATTAGTTTTGCGTTTGATTGTGTATTTTGGTCGGATCATTGATTTTTAATTATGTATTTCGTCAATTTTTACCTGATTCTCATGAACAGTAACTTGTTTGATAAATTTGATTGCATATTTGTGATCAGCGCGAAAAACCAGTTCAAATGGTATATCAGTTTGCAATTTATTGTAACGGAGATTTTTAAAAAGGGACCAAAATATTACAAAAAAAAAACTTAAGGAATTAATTTGATATTTTAAAATAATTTAAAGGACTAAAATAGTAGTTTTGCCATTAAAAAAATTTACACGCCTCGACTTCTTTTTCCAGAAAACGAGAGGTATGTGGCGCTTGGGATGAAACATATTTTATTGTGTTTTTTATTTAAAAAGAAACACATTTTCCTTAGGTTTTGAGTAATAACTGAGGAGAAATATAAGTTTTTTTTATTGAGTTTCTTCAGCGTCCTTAAACAAACCATTATCGTCCATTTAATTAGTATCAACGCTCAAAACACTGCCATCAGTGATCCGAGTGAAACCTAAAAGACATTATAATGACATTATGAATATTAAAAATTGATAATGAAACATTTAACATGAAAACTTTGAACCTTAAAGAAGTTTGAAAAAGTTCTCTATGATGGATTGAAAGAGCATAAAACTATTTGGGATCAAAGTTTGTGTTCTTAAATAATCATATAACTAAATATTTATTTTATTTATCTAAGCCTTTTTGTTTTATATCAGAAACAAATGCATGAAATATTCAACAATTGATCTTTCCCAAGATTCAATGAAACGAGGATCCAACATTTATTCTTCACCAACAGCGATGACGATGAATAAGATTCAAAACTTGTTATATATTTTACTTTAATATTATGTGTAAACAATGTAATATTATGTGTAAACAATTTAGTTTGTAAACAAATTAATTTATTATATTTTGTGTAAACATTGTAATGAGTATTTAAAATTTTTTTTATCTTTTCCATCGACTTTGACCATAAATCGAGAGGTATGTGGCTCTAGTTTTAAAAATATAAAAAAGCTATTGTTGGGGATCAAACCAATGACCTCCCCTTGGTTATTCTAAAACTGAGGGGTAGAATGGAGAGATTTTCATGACGCCTTTCGTTACCTCGCCTATATAACCGATGTTAAATCAACTTCGAGTTTGAAGTTAATTGTGTTTTTGTAGTAGTGTTAAAAAGTGATAGTTGATTAACTCTAATAGGATAATCGATTACCCCATGTAAAAATTCTCTTAACTGACTAGAATGAGTCCTTAATCCATTAGCTAAGCACATAAAGGTTTTTTAGAAATTTTAACAAATTTAGATAGGCTTTACGATCATTCGAAAGTGGGTGTGTGTGCGCGCATAATTTACTTTAGTAATCCAAAATCTAATCTTATGTCTATAGAGACAAAGACCACTCGACACGTACGAGGAAAACTTTTACACATCTTATCTTTCACAACTCTGATGTTCCAAGATTCCTTACTTGATATAAAAATGATTTTACACTTCATTTAAAACTTGGTAAGGCTTCTTGATGATACCATCATCACATATATTGCTTGATTAAAATTAACAAAGATTCCACTGAACCCTGTCTCACATTAGGTGTTGTCCTTCAAAGATCCACCATAATGTTGCCATCATAAATATCATAAAGGTTATTTGATTGATGCATTTATTATTCCTGCAAGCACGTAGATCTACAAGTTGTACGATTGCAGAATGAGTGTTAGGCTAACAAATGTTTCAAGTGAGAGTGCAGTCTAGGTCAGTTTTATCGGTCCTTACCTTAAGTGCAACTGTTCTTATTGCGAGTAAAATAGTATAGAAATTTTGTTATGGAACACAATAAAATCTTTAGGTTATGATATGTGAAAAAGTGAATGAATCACCTAGGTGGTTTGATAGAGAAGCCTATGGAAGACCAATTCTAATTCCTATAAAAACAACATGTCTTTGGGCTTTGATTCACTAGTGGGATGACTGGGGTGAATCATCCTTTAATTCAAGGGGTTGGGTCAGTCTCCTGGACCAACAAATATTTAAATTATTGATGAAAAGAGTCTTGTTGGACTTACTTAGCACGTTGCTAGACACGCTCTACTTTAAAACACAACACTGAAGGAGTGGACAAGCTTGCCACATGATCTCACTACTTATTATTCAAATATTCTTCAAAATATGTTATAACAAATATTCTGTTGTTTTTGTTTTAGTTTATATATATATATATATATATATATATATATATATATATATATATATATATATATATATATATATATATATATATATATATATATATATATATATATATATATATATATATATATATATATATATATATATATATATATATATATATATATATATATATATATATATATATATATATATATATATATATATATATATATATATATATATAACAACAAAAAATCTATTTAGGACTGAATATCTCGCAAACCCTATAAGAACATATTCGAATAAGGTATTTTGAATTCATATTAAAACAATTTTCTAGCACAACCCTGTAAAGTTCAGGCGGTTAGGACCATATACCACATTTAGGGATGGCAAAAAAGCCCGTGCTCGCGGGTATCCGCGGATATAATCCGTCACGGATACAATATGGATAGCTTAATGAATATCCATGGATAAAATAAATGGATATTTAAATATCCGTTATTTAATGGATGTGGATGCGGGTTTAATGATACCCGTACCCGCGGATATCCATACCCGTTAATAAATTATAAAAAGTATTTAAATATTTTTAATTTATTATAGATGTCATTACATCTTCCAAGAAATTTAGTCTTTTCATATTTTTTTTTAACGTTTTCTTGGAAGAAAAAGAAAACCTTTCACATTCCAAGAAAAATCATATTTAGTCATTTTATATTTATTTAGGCTTCTTCTATATTTTAGACCTAACATCTCTTTCACTTTCACAATTCCATTGTCCAACTCCAATCCAAAGAACCAGCACCGTCTTTTCTCTATCCAACACTGCAACTCAGAGTCCTAATTTCCTAAATGATTAAGGTAATCTATCTACCTTGTTACATTTTGTTCTTGTTCTTGATAAATGATTAAGGTAATCTATCTACCTTGTTACATTTTGTTCTTGTTCTTGGTTACAAATATCACTGTTATTTTGAATATTTTATTTGGAATCTTTTAAGCTTTTAATTTAGGAGTTAGGAAACCAAAGTATGAATGTTAAGCAAAGAATGCATAATATGGGATTTTGTAATGATTGATGAAAACTATTTGCATTATTACTTTTTGTTTTATTTAAACAATTATTATATGGTATGATGAATTTTATTTTGTTAAAAATGAAATGTATAGATATTATATTTGAATGTTATTATGTTTTAGTGAAAAAAGAATGAAAATAATATGATAAAGTTTAGTTGTTAAATTGAGAGCGAAAAAATATATTTTTAAAAAATAATTTTAGACAAAAAAAATTATTCATGGATATCTGTAAATATCCACGGATACCTTAAAACTCGTGGATTACCCGCTTAAGTGATATCTGCATGAATATGTGGCAGATACGGATATCATATTTATTCAACGGGACAGACACGGATATCATACTATCCGCCCCCATGGATATCCATTTACATCCCTAACCACGTTGAAACAGCTAATTAGACTTCATAAATTGGCGCAAGCATTCAAACAGGTGTTGTATATACTACACCTAATTTACCAACAACCTAATTTATTTTAGGCGTTAGAAATAAACATCATAATAATAAATCTTACAATTGAGAATACACCAAAAAGCTTAACTAAGAATTGACCATATCCTCCACTTGAGACAATTGCATGTTGATCATTCTACCTGGAAGAACTTCACATGAAATTCTATCTACCATCACCAATTTTCAACTGAGAGAAAACAGCATCTGGTGCACTATCAGATTCATCTGTAGCCCTCCCAATAGACACGTCATCCATTTCACTCAGCGTAGACAGCGAAGGAAAACGGCGAACATTAGGCAATTGAATTGATACAGAAGCACTGCTGGAACTATCCTCATGAGATTCTCTGTGTATTGCACCTCTTTGAAGCTGCAAAGCATATTCCAAGTCCCACAACACATCACCCATTGAAGGTCTGTCACTTCCATCATCTTGTAAGCATTTTTCCACTGTCTCACTAAACTTTCGAAGTGAGTTTTGATCGATCTGTCCCTTGATGGAAGGATCAATAATATCTTCCAACATCCCTTTGTCTTTGCAAAAAACTCCCCACTCAGCTAAGTTCACCTGTTCTCTTGGAAGTGATGGTTCAAGGGCCGGTCTTGCACACAACACTTCAAGTAGAACCACGCCAAATGAATAAATATCAGATTTTTCTGTAAGTTGTTGTAATCTAAAGTACTCTGGATCGAGATACCCGAAAGTTCCTTTAACACCTGTGCTGACATAAGAATGCTGATCAAGAGGACCAGTTCTTGAAAGACCAAAATCAGCAACTTTAGCTACAAGATTCTCATCAAGCAATATGTTTGTGGATTTCACATCACGGTGAATGATTCCACCCGTTGCTCCTTTGTGAAGATAATAAAGACCTCTAGCAGCACCGATACAAATCTCAAGCCTTTGCTTCCAACTCAAAAAAGTAGGCAAATTTGTATTGTACAAACTGTCTCTAAGTGTCCCTTTTTCCATGTACTCATAAACAAGTATCATCTCAAACCTTTCATCACAATACCCAATTAAGGAAACAAGGTGTCGGTGACGAATTTTGGACAAAACCATTATCTCAGCTTGAAATTCAGGAAGTCCTTGAGCTGATCCTGGTTCACTTCTTTTCACTGCCACATTCATTCCATTCCTGAGAACTCCCTTATAAACAATTCCAAAACCACCCTTTCCAATTATCCTCTCCGTGTTGAAATTCTCCGTTGCAAGTTGAAGATCAAGCAAGGAGATTTTCAATCCAAGGTTTATGTTAGGTAGAGGTGAGCCTTGAGCTGTTGTTCTGCTGTGAGAACTTCCTTCTGCGGCACCTCGAATTGGCCACCCATTGGAATTCTCAACAGGCCTTTGTTTCCTTATTTTACTAATCCAGAGAAACACAACCACCACAACAGAAACCAGAACTATACCTCCAACAACCGAACCCACCACCACAGGAAGACTAACCTTTGAATTTGAATTCAAATCCAACGCCAAATCATCCATGGGAATAAAACCAGATGAGTTAATCATTCTCATTAGTTCTAACCCGTTTAAAAATGCGTTTGGTTGGTGATCCGTCTTATTAGGTGTTACGGTAACCTTCAATATCCCAGAGCCATCGGAGCGAACAACAAAATCATAATAATAAGGATCATGCAATTCAAATGAAAAATTTGAATCATTATTTACACTTTGTACAAAATTGTCATAAATGAAGAGACTGAAAGTTGTCAAACCAATCTGCAGATTTAAAAGGTCACAAAAGTGAAGCCTAAGAAAATGATCAATATTCTTCTCCACCGGTACACTCCAACTTATGTTTAAACCGTTAGAACCGTTTTTACTCTCTCTGGCATGTTGATAAACAACATCTGGAGCAATATATTTATTCGAATTTGGACCTTCAGATTCATCGTCTGCAGAGCGTTTGATATTACCTCCAAAGTAACTTTTATTAGCGTTTTGTGGAGTAGTTATATAACTGTCATCTGGTAACCAATTTCTTGATAAGTTATCTGTTAACCTAGTAACAGTTTCTCCACCAACGTTAAGACGGTGTTTAGTTTCCAAAGCTTGAGAAAGTATAACACCACCGTACTTGAAACGGTGGATTGAATCGGGGATAAAATGAATAGGGAGGCTGAAGAGTTCTATTGCGTTAACAAACGCGAATGAAGAGATTTGAGGTGTGAAAGTTATATTGAATTTTTTTCTAATGATTTTGACAAAATACTCTTTTATTAAAGGAGAGTTGGTGAAGTTTTTGGCATCAAAATTTTGTAACAGAGAGAAACCGGGAACGGAAACGTTGAATTTAGCAGTGGAGAGGTGAGTTGGTGAAGAGAATGAAAGGAAATGGAAACGTAGCATGTAGGTATTGTTTGGGACGGTAGTGAATTGGTAGGAAGATTCGGAATAGAAAATTCTTGCTGTTTGGTAGAGAGGTGAAGGCACTGAAGATTGACTTGTTTCTGGAGAGCTATTGCTGAATACTTTTGTAGGGTAAGTAGGATTTGATTCACCAATATAAAGGTTGTTATATTCTGTAACGTTGGTATCTGATCCGCAGTTGATGAAGTATGTGTCTTGTTGATTGAATAATCCGAGTGAGGGAAATTGTAGTAATGAGAACTGAAGAAGAAAAGTAAGCAAAAGTATAGAGTGTTGAGTTGCCATGGGTCTTGATAAATTGATGATTGCAATAGTTAGATGATGTTAGTACAAGTATGGAGTGGAGAAGAGAAGAGGGACCAACGAAGAAGACTTTGATAGGTCGAAGACTTGATTTGTGGTCTGTGTGCGGCGTGTGAGCTTTGAATTTTCTTCGCTTGTTCTATTCTTACTTTTTGAAATTTATTTGGAAACTATATTTGAGAAATGTAAAATAAACGTGATTGGTTTGGTTTGAGGTTAGAGATATTTAGAGCATTTTTACTGGGAGTATCTTAAATGGGTATACTAAGATATTTTTTGTGGGTCCAAAGTGATTTATAGGATTTAAAAAATTTATAGTTGAATTGAGTTGTTTTTACTTTAATAATAGTTGCTTATAAAAAAACTAAAATTTGACCATATATTTTATATTTTTTAATTGTAATTATTTTATATTACAAGAATTTAATAATATAAATAATAATATTATATATTTCAAAATAAATATCATATGTTAGTTATGTAATTGTCGAAAACTAAAAGTTAATAAATTAAATGTCATGCCATAGTCATTTCAATATAAATTATTTATAATTATTGTTAATTATAAAAAATTTGACTATTAAAAACCTGCATTAAAGATATTATTATTATAATAAACTTATTTTATTATTAAAAGTTGTTGATAATGGAGCCAAAATGAAAAGGTATTATTAGGGAAGAATTTTCCTAAGGTACAAAATGATATTTGTCCCTGCATGGAATTTTTTCTATTCAAACTCAAAAAATAGAAAAGTCACGAATCTACCTCTCTGTTCTTTTTTGTTTTTTTTTACCTAAAATTTATTTATCTTCTGCTCAAACACGGCTGCCATATGAACAAGCCAAACACACAAACTTCAGGTAGGTAACATGTTATACAATATGTAACATGCTTTGAGCCCTCAAAGGATTAAATGAAAATTATCAAAGCATTCAAAATCAAATCTTATTGATGGATCCCCTTCTCTTTCATAAAATTGTTTTCATTCATTCAAAAATCTCCCTTGTTTCCATTATTTTTAAAATGGAAATACATTAAAATATGTGAGATATTTGATCGAATTTTAGTTTAACATGTCGTTAAAGTCTACTCACATGTTATTGTTGAAGGCCTACATGCTGTAGCCGAAATGTGTTCTAATATGTAGTTATCGAATTGAACCTTGTGTTAAAGATCCAATTGTTTAAGTTAGCTTGTAATAGGTAATTGTTAAAAAGCTCATTAGTTTAGTATGTTAGGTTTTATTATAAATAGCATACTAGTCTCTCATCTTATGTGTGGTGTAACAAATCTTAATTAGGGTTAGACGGTTATTTGTTATTCTTGAGTACTTGTAGTCTGTTTAAAGAGAAAGTAAAGAAAAACAGTTATAATCAATCTTTGTTGTTGTTGTTCTTGTTTTTCCTGTTAACCCTAACCTATGTGTGTTTCTTGATCACAAAGAAACAATTTATATTTTGTTCCATGACATCGAATTTCACAACAAATTGGTGCGATGAGCGTGGATGAGATGCCTTCTGTAACACCCCGTTTCTCAAGATAAAATAAAATAATTAAAAGAAATACATATCAGAGTTTCTCCCGCGCACGGGATGTCGCAATTCACCACAAAATTCCACATGTCAATTTTCAAAATAGAATTTTCAAATATATATATTGCAACGGTAAATAAGAATAGTCTGCCATAAACCACATAACATGTATATATACATCATCATCTATACAAAAATTGGCCATCTGCCCAAAAACATGTACATTCGTCATGCATCTTCACATATACACAAAATAAAGATACGCCACTGGGGCACACGTAACAATAATAACCGAAAAACTCCCAAAACGCCCCGGTGTTACGTATCAGAGCAGTCCTACGAGACACCACACATCCATCTAGCTATCACCTGAATTATCTGCACTTCCGAAGAAGCACAGACCATAACAACAACAACAACAAAGGGTGAGATTTACGATCAAATAATAATGGCATATAAATGCATGAAATAAAAGCATAATCAATAATAATATTATTTCATACACGCATCATCCGGACTCTCGGCCCCACCCTCATCTACAATTCACAATCGTGCTACACGTGCACTCACACCATCCCCAATATACAACACCGAATCACAAACATGATGGGCACTTGGCCATCAACCCTCCACTCAGGAGCACCAAATATACGATGGGCAACTGGCCATCAACCCTCCTCTCAGGGAGCACACCACACCGATGGGCAACTGGCCATCAACCCTCCACAATGGGAGCACTATAATAATACCGATGGACAACTGGCCATTACCCTCCGCTACGGGAGCACAACAATTAACGCCGATGGACACATGGCCATCACCCTCCTCACCGGGAGCACAACGCATAAACGCACGATGGACACGTGGCCATCACCCTCCTCTACCGGAGCACCCAACCATAACCACGCGCATTAAACAACTAGCACACTAAATGCACCTGGATCATATTGATCCATAACTCGCCTCACACATACACTACGCCCACGGCGTACCGATCTCACAGATCATTCACATTGTAACATACACACAGCAAGCACACACAGTGCAACGATCCCACGGATCCGCTCACCGCACAATTCATTAATTACCATGCACATAAAGCGCTACAATCATACTGATCTTCACCTCTCACACTCAACACACTCACACCGTGCACACATTCAACTATGTGTAATATCCGCACCGGTTCACACATAACGCATAATCCGTAGATTTTGCCACGGACGTTAACGCCGGCTCAACAGCCCCACAACCTCTCACACATGCTCGTGTTAGCTTCCCAACGAGCCTTCCATCGCATATGACCAGAAAGGTTGAAGTTCGCGAAGGAACCACACCAAAACAGCAGCAAAACACAGTTCTGCTGTCTGGTTCGCTGGCACACTTGCCTGGCGAGGGCCCGCAACGAACACTCGCCTGGAGAAGCCTGGCGAAGCCTCGCTTCCATTCGCCCAGCGAAGGCTGGCGAATGCTGCATAATTCAGCGCATTCTGCACTTCATAATCGCTCCCCACTTCCGATTTCGCCCGATTAAATTATCACCCAATAACATACAATGTACTACTACTACAATACTGATCAGTCTCCGATTCTATTCCGATTAATCCCCTACTCTACTCTCCGAACCAACTTCCGGTTCAACTCCAAAGTTCTACCGAAATGTTCCGAAACTCTCACAAAACCACATTCCAGCACATGCACGAATCAAACAACATCCAATTCAACATTTACAACAATCACAACACAAAATCAGTATCAAACATTAGCAATTCTATGGAGTTAGGGATTTTTCCCAAAATCTACCGATTATCATGCAAGGCCAAAACAACCGTAAACCCCCCCCCCCCCCCCCCCCCTTTACCTCTAATGAAGCTTGATGATGAACTTTGCACTCCAATCCTCACGAAATTCAGCAAGCTTGACGTTGTTCTTGATGCTTCAGATTGCTCTTGATTGCTTTCCACTTCCTTCACCGTGTTCTCCCCCTCTCAGTCGTGTTCTTCTTTCTTCTTCCAATTCTCTTTTCACAAAATGTCCAGTTTTGCCCTTAGTCCCAATAATTCCTCAATTTCTTTATATTTTCTAAATAATATTAATAGTCTCACAATATTAATATTAATAAAATAACAATAATAATAATAATTAATAAAAATGCTAATATCACATTAATATTAATTATTGATCATTATCATTATCGTTTATCTAATATCAATATTATGCTTCTATTTCTTCCTCAATTCCCACACCAAACACGCTGATGAATAAAAATAACACTGAAACTAAAAATAATTAAAATGGGCGTTACAACTCTCCCCCACTTTAATTATTTTCGTCCCCGAAAATACTTGATGGAACAGCTCTGGATACGCTTCCCGCATCTTGCTTTCCAGTTCCCAGGTCACACTGCCTCCTGCAGCACCTCCCCAAGCCACTCTCACCAACGATATCTCTTTCCCTCTGAGCCGCTTTATCTTGCGATCCTCGGTCCTCAACGGCAATGTCTCCACAGTTAGATTCTCTCTAACTTGAACTTCATCCCTCTGAATCACATGAGACGGATCGTGCACATACTTCCGAAGTTGCGACACGTGAAACACGCCGTGCAAGTTCGAAAGCTCCGGTGGCAACGCCACCCTATAAGCCACAGTACCGATCCTCTGCAAGATCTGATATGGTCCGATAAACTTCGGATCCAACTTCTTGGACTTCAAAGCACGTCCAACACCCGTCACTGGGTTAACCCTCAAGAATACATGGTCACCCTCACTGAACTCCAACTATTTCCTGCGGCTATCACAATAACTCTTTTGGCGATCCTGAGATGCTTTCATCTTTTCACGGATCATCTACACTGTCTCGGTAGTCCGTTGTACCAATTCTGGTCCAAGAACCACACTATCACCCGACTCGTACCAACACAAAGGAGTTTTGCACCTCCTGCCATAAAGAGCCTCGAATGGTGCCATCCCGATACTGGAATGATAACTGTTATTGTACGTGAACTCAATCAAAGGCAAATGAGTATCCCACGTACCACCCTTCTCTAACACACATGCCCGCAACAAATCCTCCAAGGTCTGAATAGTCTGCTCCGACTGACCATCTGTCTGCGGATGATAGGCTGAACTCAGCTTCAACTCAGTACCCAAAGCCTCTTGCAAACTCTTCCAAAACACAGATGTGAACCTCGGATCTCTATTCGACACAATGCTCAACGGTATACCGTGCAGCTTCACAATTACCCAAATGTAGATCTCTGCCAGCTTTTCCAACGGAAAGCCAACACTGATCGGAACAAAGTGCGCAGACTTCGTAAGTCGATCTACAATCACCCAAATGGCGTCAAAACCTCTCACCGTATTCGGCAAACCTGTGACAAAGTCCATAGCAATACAATCCCACTTCCAAACCGGAATTTCCAACGACTGCATCATTCCTGAAGGTTTCTG